TGCCTAAGAAATGTCCAAAATGCAAATGATCCATGGAAATATTAAATGAATGTAGTAATATTTCACAAAAGAAGGTCGTTCTAACCATACAAATGTTTTTTATACACTAATTTTAAATATAATTTTTAAAAATGTATTTCTACCGTTTTTCTATTCCACTAATGGTTTAAGCAAACTTGGGTAAATGCTACTTAGTCAATTAAAATAAATTACATTAGATGTCTCATTACTTGTATTGTTTTTTTCATGACTTAAAAATGTTTGGATCTATTGTTTTAGTGAAATCCGGATCTTAGAAGATACAGTTTAATTTAGAAGTAATGGTTATTACTTAACATAAGCTCAATTTGTAATAAGCGTTTGAATTAAACGATGGTCAATAATTTCAAGCTGATTCAGTTTTGTATACGAGTAGTATTAAGTTTTTGTAGAAATTTTAGGTCTGGTGTTATTTCTTTGTACATTTTTTGATCGTCTGAAAAATGAATTAAAGGATTAGAACATGTTAGTGTAGAGTGCTTAATTTTGCTTGTACTCATAACACACTTGATTCTAAGTAATAGGAATTATATAAGACATATTTTATTACTTTCAAATATTCCCATGGGCATATCTTAGTTTTAGTATTAGTTATATGTTGTTTGCAGTGACCAGTCTGTGGATAGGATTGAGTTAATCAACTTTTATCGAGGGTTCGGTTGTACTAAACAGTCTTGAAAAATTATCTTGATGTATCTACTGAGACACTACTTGAGTGGTGAAGATTATCGACCAGATCACTCCGACGATGAACTCATCGTGTCTGATTGTTTTGAGTTTTAGAATTTAATAGTTTTATCGGCTTCAGTTTTGGAAAATTTCAAGTACGATTATAAATATTTAAATTTAATTCCCGTCAGTCAACCAATTAATAGCAAAATTGTGTACCAGATCTAAGAGATGGTTTTAAACTTTTATGAGTAAATCACGCACAAACCAGCTCGACCGAAAACTACCCAGTTTTTAATATGGGTACACTTACGGCCAATTATAACTGTATTTTATATAAGAAAAGTTTTGTACAGATTTTCAACTTGTTTCGAACGATATTTGTCATAACAATTATTCAGTATGGACTTTATGTTTATTCCTAGTATTTATTTAAAAAGTTTGCACCACCGCTTTTATAGAAGCTTTGAATTATTTATATACACTTGGTACGGAACCGTCGAGTTTACCTTAATTACCATCGAGAGGGCTTCTTCGAAACTACGGTATAACCAACAAAATAACAATTGGATAAAAACAGTAACGGTATATTTTAGTAGTAATAAATAATAATACCAAGAGACTTTTAAACCGGGCCAGTGTGCAAAATTAGTTGGATAAACTATTACGAACGTGACCCTTTCGACCGTTTGTAATTTATATAATTTTTCGAAATTGTGTAAAGCACAAATAAAGGTAATATTTTAGTTTTTGTGAGGTTCGTTCGCTTGATTTGGTTCTGCGGTTGGTAAAAAAAAAGTTGACACAAAACGAACAACGAATATTGAGCATGCCGAAAACTTTTAAATTGGTCGAAAACTTTTGAGAATCACGCGCTATCTCATTATTATTATTGCTTAAAATTATGTACCCAACATAAATAAATACGTTTTGTTTCGGCTAATACAGATACCACCGAATACAAATCGCAGGACGACGACCGAAAATAATAACAACAATAATAATGATAATAACTCGCCAGAAGAGAGTTCAAAACTAACGTAATTGTTTACCGAGACGAACGGCGTCCGACCGAACTTCTTATTATAATAATAACTTTTAAGTTTTGTATTGTTTTTTTTTTCGTGTCTTTTGACAAAATATATTATTGCTTTTGGCGCGGGTAAAATATTTGTTTCTCAGTTTCCGGTTGGAGAAATTCGAAAGTTGACAGGTGGTTTGCTTTTTGTTTTATTATTGCATTATATTGCATCTCGCGGCTTCAACGATTCGCGCTCACTCCGAGTTGTGTTTTTGTTTTAAAAAATTACAGTGGAAATTCGTTTAGAACCGAGACGTTTACGCTGCCGGGGGAATAACCGAGACGGAGTACTTTCGATGGTCATAATATTATTATCATCGTAATGGAACATTAGCAACGAAAAAAATAAAAAAACAACAGCAATATTTTTTTTTACTCCGATTTTAGCATAAACTCAATTAATCTTGCGAAATCGTCTTCATAATGTAATCAAGCGGTAATTCATACAAATTGGACGAAAAACCCGTGCCCTCGGCTTGTCCCTTTTACCGCCCACCGTGGTCGGTCCTTTCCAATTTGGACGGCGTTTCCTTTGACCCAAATCCTCGGTTGATCCCGGTCCGGTCAGCAGGCTTTGCGAATGGTTAAAATACACACAGACAGCCGCATAATAATAACTACACCGGTACTACTGCAGCGAACCAACCGCACATTTACACTGACGGGGGGGGGGGAGGGTCACCGAGAGTCGTCGCCCTTTTAATGTATTTTGCATACAACGCGGAATACCTATTATGTTACCGGACCCAAAACCGGCCTAGGGACAAAACGGACGGACATTTGATTAAACGACACAAGGACGTTGTCCGACTTAACGTCAATACCCGACCACATCGGTTTATCATTTGTAGGCTGTTCCCGGAATCTCTACGCGACGTCTCCCGTTTTGAATATACTATTCCTATTTGTTTTATCCTATCGACAAAACCGTGTTCGGAGCGGCTATTGTCTTCCCCGGCTCGTCTCCAGAGTTACTGAAGTGAAGGCGTTCATAAAATAAATATTATTATGGTCACCACGACACGACCCAGACTCTGTACGTTTTCCATCGTAGCGTTTCCTCAACACCGCATTATACACCGAAATGTAATTATTTACCATTTATTATACCGTGTACGTACACAACCGTCGACTTAACCGAGCGCAAAAGTCTCACTCAAAGGCTATATGCGGGTTCGTATTGCTAACACAGCTAATTGCAGGGCGCCTTATGTAAACAAATAAACAACGGCCGAGTGTGTTGGCAATTTAACGAAGAAACAAAAATCACTCTAATAAAAAAATCGGTTTTAGTATCACCAAATTGAGAAAAATATACATTCTTTGCTGTTTAACAAAACATACAGTGTGTGTGTGCTTTGCAACAGCTACTACAGTCAATACAAACTATAACACTATTTTATTTCATCACTTACTTTTTAACGGTTTGTTTGGTTTAGAATGAAATATCCCCCCAAGTCATCCCAAATATCCCCCATATAATATATTATCTTAACTCGGAATATCAAATCACATTTGGCCAAGACTAATGTGTGTGTAAATTATTCAGATTTTCTTATTTTTAATTTCCACGTGATTTACAAGCGGTACGCTTTAGCTTGAAAGAGACAAGTCAAATGACTTTTTGCAATCCCATAAATATCCGGGATTAATTTAAAAGGTGAGGTTTGAATCATGCTAGTGAATTATTTTCACCGTCTTGAAATTATTATTATGTTATCCTGTTGGGAAAAAAAATCAAATTACCATTTCTATTTCGCGTTATGCAATTCAGGGTGAGCACACTCGGTAACCTAATCTATTCGAAACCCTATAAGATTATATACGGGCTATTTCGTTTAATGAATATGGAGTTGATGCCAAGGGGCGGTGATTCATATACATTTCTATAATTCGAAAATTATGCGTTAATGTTGTAGATAAACCACGACCGAGCTAAAATAGTATAATCCTTTTTTTGTCGGTTTTATAAAATCAACTCCCAACAAATAAATCTCTAGTAAAAAATTTAACGATAAAATGAAATAGAGATAGTATTCTACGTTAAATACATTTTTTAATAAATTCTTAATAATTGATTTTCGTCGTTATTAAGTTAAACACTGATGTGCAATATATTTTACATTTATGTTCTTAACAAATTCATTAATAAAATATAATTGTAAAACCAAACATATGTATGTATATATATATTTAAAGATTTTCAATATTTTTTAACCAAAATATTTTTTTAAGGCTCTGTCAGCAATCGTGAACCAACAGTGTTCATTAAATTAAAATAACTGTTATTACAATATATAAAAGTGCACTCAAGAAATTAAAACTAAACATAAAAAATCGTACCGGAATAGTATTCAACATTTTAAAAATCCTATCCCTTCCAAATCAAGAAACCCAAAAAAATTTCAACTTAAAATTACGGCGCGTCACTTTTAAAAAATACTTCTGACTAACTTGTGTAAGGTATTCTTTCTCGTTAGATATAGTACTGCTGATAGGATTTGATAAACCAAGAATAATGATTATAAGCCTATTATTATAATACATTTTTTTTTACTTTCGTTATACCATTTTTGCAGATTGAAAACGATACTCATGTTTTGTTAATAAGACCGGGTGATTATTTTAACGCCCTACACCGGGTTTATTTTTAAATTATTGCAATTTTCTAATTTTCCTTTTTTTAAATATTTTTGTTGATGGTATATTACAATACTAGATAATATTAAATTGTTTATCTTATCAACTATTGAAAATTAAATGGTAACGTATGTAGTTTATTGACTTTTAAAATGAAGAATAATTTTCTGAAAATGTTGACTGATCGATAACCAGTTTTTAATAAATAGTTTTAAAGTTATTAAAGTTTTAACTGAAGGACATGAGGAAGAGTGTAGTGTAGAGATATTTTTATCTGTGCGCATTTTAAACTTTAATAACTAAGTTTCAAAGTTGATTAAGCTCTAGTAAATACAAATTTTAATATTTCCATGTATTGTAGTATAAGATAAACAAATATAGGTTCCAAAAAGAAAACCATAAAATGGCAATTTGCTTAAGAGTAAACTAGCGTAGAGCGATAAAATATGCACCCGGTACATAGAGTTGATATTGAAACGTTAAATATTTATCGTTGATCATTGATATCGGCTGAACTTCATTCGGTGGCAAGCGAAAAGCTCATGTTTTTTATTTTACATTTTTGTCTTAGATGATATGAAAGAAATATGCAAGACTCATTTCTTACAACAAGTGTACCGGAAAATCGAAGGAGCCGTGCTAGACTCTCACAACGAACGTAACCTAAACTGTGTGACCACTTACCAGACCCATTCCGTCCTACAAAGGTTCATGTTGCGATTCGACAAGTTACAGTTGGACTGCAATGACCATTTGTACGTATACGATGGGGCCCACGCCGTCGGAGCGTTTAAGGTGAGTGAAAATTATCTTATAATATTGCATTCGAAAAACAAAATTTGCAAAATTCACACTTACTAGGCATTACTCTGCGTAGTAAAAATAAAAATCGCATTTTGACCATCGGTTCCCATTTTTTAACAACTTGACATGTACATGTATATTATAGTTATAATTCACTTAAAATATTATATAATTTACAATGCTAGTGACAAACCTTACATTCAACCTGAGCTTCAATACGTTTCAGTAGAAGTTAAAAAAGTAAATAATTATAAACTAAACGTAATCAGTTATTTTTTGGTTAAATTTAAGTTAATCATAAATAGAAACATTAAGATTTCCATTGTAAATATAATGAATATGACACTTTTTAAACGCGATTTTAAAATTAAACGATTTTGATATAATCTTCTTTGTGACTCAAATTCAAAGATTCTGGACTTAGAAGGAAATCTCATTTTTTTTTTATCATAATAAGAACTCGCATCGACCACCGTATATACTGTATCCAATTGTCGAATTTGATACCGACCCTTTGGGCGGTTTTTTTTTAGTTTTTTTACGGGATTTGTCCCTATACAACACAGTTTCCGGCAACTCTGCCCCGTCAGAAAAATATATTTTATATACATGTGAGGGGGCGGTGGCTTTCCCTCTGACATATATTCCAAACTAATATAATAATAATATTTAGGCGGCGTAGGTATAATAATAATAATAATATAGCCAACGGAAATTAATATGCGGATTATACTATACATGTCCTATATATTATATATTATTATATTATAATAATAACACAAAGCCGCTCAAGTCCATATAGGCGTCGGTGATATGAGATTTATCGGTCAGGACCGGAGGGGGCAGGGGAGGGACCGAAGGGAGGGGAGTGTGGAAATGATAAACGAGGAGAACATATTAAATATGCACGAGCTTTTGTCGCTGTGTACCTATATACGATTTACGATACAGAAATTGTTGTAACTTTTTTATTTCCTATAAACAAATTGCGTACACCGTTTTGGTCATATATTCATTACATTACATGTATCCAATAGTACCTATACCGTGTACATACAATATATATAAATATTTATTATAATATATCGGTTATGTACCTTTGTCGTCCATGTCATACCATGTCGTCGCCGAAAGCCTTTTTATTTTTATATATATTTTTTTTATCATGTTATAATAATAAAATATAGTATGCCGAATTTTACCAAAGACGACTTAAACACACATATACTCCGTTATTTCTTTATGTAGGCATTGCAAATATGTATAATATATTTGTATGTGTGTGTGTACAATATAAAATGACCGAAGGCCAACAACTTAATAATAATAAAAACATAAAAAACGAAATACGCTTCGGGCTTTAAATATTCCACATTGCTTTCAGCCGACATAGTAAATTATTTGTCTGTGGTATTTTTTAAAAAAAAAAATACAAAGTATTATAGTTGCTTTGTTTTGGATGCACCAGCGAACTGACACCGAAATGGATAAAGCTCTACTATATTATGGTTACTTTTAATGGAACGAAAATTGTATTCAACCGAATACCGTGTGCGGCATATCCGTTTTGTCTAACAGCATTATCACACGAATACCGAGTCGACCAAAGAGATTTTAGAAAAAAAAAATAATAAGACTAATATTATGTCTTTTATATTTAGGCACTGCACGTATAAACAAAGGAAGTCCTTTGTTTGCTTTTAAGACGAAACAAAATGTCAACCTCTATTTTATTATTTTTAAAGAGATTTTGTTTAAAATCCTCTCTGAGCAGAATTGCATTACTGATACCAACGCGTTAGTTCTTAAAAATATGCCAAACAAAATTACTTTTGATGTATACTGGGGCGTTCTAATAGGTTTAATTGAAATTGTTAAGTAAAATATAACATTTTACATTCGACTTAATTATATTTGGTTGATAAGGATGATATATTATTTTGAATTCGAAGTATTTGCAGTATTGTGGACAAATTGATGACAAGACGGTTGAAAAGTGATAAATACGCTATTTATAGAAAAATCGAGTACTTAGACTCCGTTCGGCTTTAATCGTACAATTTTAAGTGTACCGTTTTTACAAATGTTCGAAAATTACAAGACAACATAAATATTGAAACTTTTTTTTTGAGAAATAACACATAGCCCATTAGGACTTTTGTTGGTTAATTTTTTATTTAATCTGTCCTATAAAATATGTATTTAAAAATTAAACAAATAGACGTATACAATACATAACCTTTTAAAAAAGTTAAAACTATCATCAACCAATAAAAAAAACTGTACTCGTAAAATTGAAACCTGTTTCTTGGAAAAATATTGATAATGCTTGTTCAAAAAAATGTGATTAATAAATTATCAACTTATGATTTCTTACTATGATGATAATATATATTATATTGTACACAGCAATTTAGTTTTACACAATTATAACAATATTTGTTTTTGTAAGCAAATGTTTATATTATACTCTTTGGAGAAAAATGTGTGTGGCGTCCACTTTATATAGTAATTTGATTATTTAATTACTTAAAATATCTCTACCACGGTTTAAAATAATACACACAGAACAGTCGCGTCTTCGAGAAAAACATTTTTTTCGTAAGCAGCACTTTTAGAAAAAAATGTTTAAGAGTAAACGAATGATAATTCTCTATAAACAGTAAGAAATTATTATGATAATTATTAAATTATCACATACGTTATTCATTACTAAAATAAAGTATATAAGTATATTTTTAATTTCTCCCAGCAGATCGGTTGTTTGTTAATTAGTGCGCGGGTCATTTTCGTTAATGTTTGGGGTCTGTACACCTAGTCTGCGACGGACGAAGAAAAAATAATAAACTTTGGCGCGCCTAAATGTCTCTAATTACATGAAATTAGCGAGCGGGCGGTCAGTTGGTGACACGGGTTCGCATATACGGTGTAATGGTATTTTGCCCTGTGGCGACGGCATTGTAGATGAGGCCAAGGCAGGGAAAAAGCCATAGCTCGCGTTCCGTTTAAAAAGGGTTGCCAGACCGGGCGTGTGCGGTAGGTCGATTCTCTCTTAACGACTGCAAACACACACATTATTCGCATACATTGCCGGCAGGACCGTCTGGCTCTCTTGTCTGGCCTGTTCAAAGCGAACATACGACCGATATTCATTCGCCTTGTAATTAAAGTCAAGACCTGCGGTGACGACGTGTCCGGAGTTATGCGACTCCCGACCGAGAAGAGGTACAAAACGCACATACCTAACTAAAATATGTACATTATTATTACTATTACGCAATAAGTATATAGTGCCGTCAACGTTGGTGTTATTAATGGGACGGCGTTGGTGTTGTCGGTGCGTTGATGAAGGTCTGTAGATAAAAGGGTTACAAATTCAAAAACAAACTGTACCGAGTTGTTCTGCTCTCTGACTGTGTCCTTTTCATTGGACTCGAGACACAGCGCATGGTATTTTATTTTAGCCGGTTAGCCAGTTCTTTGAACCACTGCGTTTTCTGCCGGCCGTAACACTTGTTAATGCTTGTCTATAACATCAACGTGAAGTCCGTGTTGCTAACCGCTAAAAAGGATTTCGACCGTCCTTAATTAACTTAATCCTCTTTTGAAACGGGGGAAGTACATAATTGCATTACGACATCCGTCTGTCGGCCTTTGCTTTGGGGTGGATTTTGGTTTTATCTTCTGCCCGGTAGCAAATATGCCGACCACAGCGTATTATGGTTGTTCCCTTGACGAGAATCTTGTACTACATCATGTTACCTACTTCGCACTTTTTCGATGTTAGCAAACGTACACTTTATGTTATAAGATAATATATAAGTGTGTATGTATTGTATACGGTTAGTAGAGTGGTGAACAGAGGCAGGCTTCAAACGTCATGCCGTTAAGCACACTTGAAAAACTACTAATTTTCTTTTTGCAGTACAACGATCAACAACTGTGTCCAGTCACACTCCAGATGTGCGTCTACCCTCGGCGAAAAACCCTCTTTATGTCTGATAACTTAAGAAACATTTATCTTATAGTGTGAATCATGCATACAGCTTCTCCTGGGCTCTGTTATCGCTCATTCAAATATATTTGAATATCGCTTTAAGAAATCCCGTTCTTGTCTAACAATTGAACTCATCCTTGTATGCCATTTGCAAAAGTTCTAAAACGCATTTTTTTATAGACCCCCAAGGTATAGTGTGACAACGACTCCAAAAACCATCTTATCACATACACTACTACCAGTTTTCTAAGTATATCGCTCAAAAATAGAACCCATATATTTTGTAGTCAGTTCAAGGAGTAATAATTTAGTAAATAAAAATACACATAATATTCACTTGGCACGGCACACCATCTAATATTTCCGTACGACCTCCGGGCATCTGTTTTGCCTATCTTCAACGCCGTTTTATACTTACCTATAATGTGATAGTCTTGTTGACAGGGCGATGTTATCGGTCGACACGGTAATGCGTTTTACGTTCAGTAGAAAACCTTACTCGCGTGCCCTATCATATATAATATACACTTGAGTTTATAACGTGATAGTTATTTGGATAACCAAATCACTTATGCAAATCAATTAGCGCGGCAATAGTCAATAGTTACTCTTACGGTATATATTTATACTGGTTAGGTTAGGTTAAAGCAATATACTGACTTACATGTGTAGGAAAACCGAGTGACGATAAACAATTTAAGCATTAAAATGCATTTAGAGGAGTTTATAATTTATATCTGTCTGAACATCGTTCATTAACAATTATTTTCACAAGTCAAGGTAACAATAGGTGAAATTAGGAAATTGGAAATAAACAATTTTAAAATATCACTGTGAGCTCTAATGAATACAAAAGTTGTATTAAATTCAATTTTTTCCATAATAAACTAGGAGTAAAGATAAATCTTGAAGAGAAATTGATGTAAAAAATGTAGGCTATTTAACAATCGGTATAATAATTGTATAAAGGATTATTAATTAGGATTAACGTTAT